ACTAATGGAAGCAAATGTAAAATCAGGGACCTGGCATGTAATTACAGCAAAATGCAGGTGAGTGATATCTCATGTAACCTTTGGCAGAAAGAAACGCTGCCTTGTGAAAAGGGTTTCTCCCGATGATTATAGGCAATCCCTTACTCTGAAGTGATGGATTACAAATACACATTCATCAGTCTTGGTAGCAGCAAGACATCATTCTGCAAGGAAGGTGGATCTGACACATAGGGCCATGGGTAGAGAAATACTAATGGCACTTTTACAATTTGAGATATAATTAAAATCTGCATCTGAAAAATTATTCAAACATATTTGAAAAGTAACTAAAGCCCACCCATTTTGGATGTGGTGTTTTACAGACATTCTGGTGAGTAAGCAATTTCTTCCATCTAGCATAAATTAATTTTTGTTGCTGTTTTCTGCTACTGTTCCCCATTGAATTCCAGCATAATGACCACAGTACACCTGGCTCCTTGCAGAAATACTCCACAGATCTTTATGCAGTAGTTAGTTAATTTTTTTTTTTTGACAAAAAGGGAAATTGTAACATAAATCATTTAAGCTTATTAGACCACAGTAAGATGCAAAACCAAACCTCATACTTTAGTAATTTTAAAGTTCTTCATAACAGTATTTGAATAACATTAACAATGAAAATAGCTATGTTAAGGTATGAACTTTGAGGACTACTTATCTACCTATATTTGAACACCTTTGCCTTCAGGGGAGCTATCTGAGCAGCAGAAGCTGAAGTTGTGAAGCTCAAGTTCCAGGTTCTGCCTGCACCAAAAGGCAACTCAGGTTACACATACAGCGTGCACTATTCAGCTGCCTGGGCCAAACAACAAATTAGAGCAAATAATGAGCGGTGGGTTGCAATAGAAACAGCAATGCCGTGCAGAGGCATCCAGTCTGGCTGAACTAAACAACCTTAAGCATCTTCTGTTTTAATCAATAAGCCAGAAATTGCTAACACTGTGAGGGCATTAACAGAGCTGGCTCTCAGTGGCCTGGAACCAGCTGCCCTAGATTGTTGTGTGAACTACAAATGGCTGTGTAGGATGTGCAGGCTCTTGCTAATGCTGTCAATAAGCATCTATATTACTACAATTAGTAGTAATGAGGTCTGAGATAACAGCAAGAACTATCAGAGCTGTTGTGAATGGTGAGAGAAAAGAATAGCATCGGAGGGCTCTGAGTTGCAAGAACTTTTACAGCTTTGTTCCACTGCTCAAAACCTCTGAGGCATCCATTTCTTTATAATGTGCTAATTAATTACAATTCAAAATTTGCTGCAGATGGCACTCTTCTTGCCAGAGAAACTTCCATTTTCTATGTGTCTGTTTCTCCATGCACAGATTTTTGGGGTCGCTTTTGTGTCTGGAGCCATTATGTGAGGATTACTGTAAGTAAGCTTCCAGTTTCACTTTGATTAAGAATTTTTTTCCAGACATTTAGTCACTCACAGGTGTCTCAGGAGGATGTTCTCACATTATGCAAGAAGTTTTAATTATAATCTGACTATATAGGTCTGTCTTTGATTATACAAAAAAAAGCGGTGAGCTTCTTATTCACTCAAAGTCATCTCAAGGATCAGGCCATTAAGTCATTCTGACTGTACAATAAAGTGTCTGGAGTTAGAACAATAATTACTGTAATTATTTTCAAGGAAGGCTGTAGACATCTCTGAAAATGTTGCTAAATCCTTTTTTTAAACTCATAGTCTGATTTTAAAAGTATTTTGTGTTTTCCAAGCAGAGCTTGGATGAAGGAAGAATAAAAAAAAAGGATGAAAATAATCTATGGATAATGTTATGCAAATTAATTCCTCAAATAGCTGCTAGTTACCAGCTGCTATAGAAGAAATTATTTTTGAAAAAGCCTGCTAATGCCTTAGAATATGGAGAAGTACTGAGGAATGGGCAGGGTTGGTGAAGCTAAAAAAGGCTAAGGCAACTTATTTGAGGATCTTCTTGAAATGTGAGATGGCTTAAATCAAACCTTGAGCTATTTCTTAATTAAAAATAAAATAGCTGTAATTCTTGCAGCCAGGAACAATGACATAATTTTTAGAACCCAATGACTGACCTGCACTCCCAAATCTTAATAATATATTATTACAGAAGTGATATGATAATTCAAATATGGGTCACATATCTTAAATTTGCACATAATATGATACTTTGCATGCCTAGCACTTTAATAAAGGCTTCTGATAAACTTTGAAGTTCTCAGGAACCTATGACCAAGCCAAACAAGTTTCTGTTCCCAGGGGATCTTCACAAAGACACTCCTAATCTAGAGGTGATTTACATGTCTCGGTAGTTGAAGTGCTAGGAGAGCAAAAACCTCAGTGCTAATATCTGTGTCTAGGATTGCTTAAGTATTTTGCCCCTTTACTATTTATCCTGCAAGCTCCCCCCTATAGAAGAGACTCAATTTCATTGTGCAATCCAAAGACTGCCATAAAGTGACAGAAAAATTGACTGCAAGTGAAGAAATTACTTACACTTTATATACTTTTGATATTTATCCAACTGGCTACCATTGGTCTATAACACAGCTGTACCAGACACTGCAGGGACAGCTGGAGAAATGAATGCTGCAATAGGGAAGGAAGAATTTGTGTATATGACGACTTCTGCCTCCACAGCTGAGTTTTGCGAAGCCTTCTCTTTTGCAGAATGCTTCCTTGAGAACAGATGTCACCAAGCGATGCAACATATTTATGCATGTGGAAGATAACCTAAAGACAGTTGCTGATGTTTTGAGGTCTGAGATAAGAATAAAAGTGGATTTGTGTATTCTTTAGATAAAGAACTCCTACAAGATCAGGCCCAGAATTAGAGACAGCCAGTAAAGATCCTGTACTAATAAGATTTGTGCTTCAGACTCTTCCACAGAAGTGCTAGCATTTGATATTATCCAGTTAGACTGGACTTCTAATACTCTTTTTTGCTGCTTCTTCCATGTCAAAGAAGCAGTATCTTAAGTGTTTTTCTAGTTATATCTCAGCCTTTGAACACAGCCATAACACTATCCAGTTCCTCCCGACTCTCCCAGGGTTCTTCAGTGTCCTTCCCTTTTAACAGTATTCGTGCTTCTCCTGTCATTTTGGGGCTGAAATTGGGTAAACATTGTGTGTGTATTGCTGGCCATTTTCTGAAAAAAGTACTCTCTCTCCTCTTTTCCCTAAAAGCAGCTTGAATTCCCAAACGACAAGTGCTCATGCATTGACTTCCAAAAGCTGAAATTCTTCATGATTTCCAATAGTATTTACCTTGCAGAGGAGGGTACAAGGGACTGCATTATGTAAATTATGCTTAATCTCCTTTAATGACACGAGGCAGATCCAAAAGGGTTTTGAAGGCAGAATAAATTCTTCTGAATTAATCATTCTAGTGTTCCCAGAAATTAACTTGGCCCAGAATATTTTAAGATGAAAGAAACTTGTGGTCAGATATACATGCCACAAGATAAGGAAGTAAAGCAGTAATAAACACAAATACTGAGGCAAAAAAACCCATGTAATCAGTAGTGGCTCATAAATAACTTAATGCACAAAGAATGCCCCAAGTTGTTGGGCAACTTGGGACTCAGTATAAAAACCTGAGCAACTCAAGGCTCTTCCATCCATTTCTTTTGCCTTCTTTGCCTTGGTGAATAAGGTAAGTCTGAACCCATTTTTTTCTCTCTTTGTATGTAGGACTGTTGCCTTGATGATTTTGTAGCTTTTCCTCACTAACATTGTAGTACATTCAGTTTTTTTCTCTGAGGGAGAAAGAGGGTTTCATATGAAAGAGGAAGTTTTCTGTTGGTGGTCTGTTATAAAAAAATCACCGAATGGGGCAATTATCCACAGGTTAGCCGGTTAGGTCTATTTATTCAACTTTGGGATCCAAAGAAGTTTTCAGGTCCTGCAGCTGAACATAAAATATCTGTAGTGGCTTCTTGGGTCTGTTCAGAGTAGCGTGCTGGTCTGTGGAAAATTCAGCTAAGGCCATAAGATCAGAAGAACATGGGGATACTGGCCAATACTGGCAGTCCTGGGTCACCATCTCTCCACATAGAAAGCAATCATCAGTCCATACCTGCCTTTGAATCTCAATTCATAGTTTTTCTGCAGGCAAAGAGTGACCTTTAACCAGTTGCTGCTTCATTCTCTAAACAACTGTGGACAGATTTGCATTGTAGCTCCCGAGATCTGCTGATGATTTTAATATTAATAACAATATGCAAAAATAGAAGTGTTCCTGAAATCAGCTGCCCGTCCTTCCATTTCGTGCTGAACAGATTTTAAGTGCTTAAGCTTCTATTTTCCACTTTCTAGAATTGGGAGAAGGGATCTCCAAGATAGAACATGCACGAGAGGAGGCAACAGGAATTAAAAGGGAAAGGTTATTTGCTGTATTAGCATTAGGTAGGATGTTTGTCATCATTGACTGTTTACCAAAGAGGCAAGCCTTGGATCAGGAACAACAAGCTGAGTCTTACCCGTTCCAGCAGAGCACCTTCATCTGAAGGCTACAGAGTCAACCTCCATTTCTCTAGGACAAACAGAGCCCTTACAGTTTTCCTGTGTACAACCTCAACTGCAAGGGGAAGCGTTGAAAGCGCCTTTTCCTAGGGTAGTGCTATGGCCATGTGGTTAGGGCAGTCTCTGCAATGTGCACGAAGAGGCTTTCAGCACCAGCATGTACCCTGGTTGCTGGATGAGTTGACTAACCATGGAGGCTTCAGGGTAAGTTTCTGACTGAGAGGCACCAGTGCTACCTTCCCTAGCAGTCTCCTTAATGAAAATGCAAGCTCAACACTGTTTTCAAAGTAATTCCTCTGGATCTGGTGAAAAATGTCATCTTGTTCCCCATGGAATCTCTTAGTTTGTTATATACTCCCTTTATTACAGAATTTCAGCTGTGCAAACAGAGTTTTATTTAAATTCTTGTATTGCATTTCTTTCTGGTTTGGTGTTTCAGATTTACCTCCACCCCACAGACATGTCTTGCTATGACCTGTGTCCACCCACCACCTGTGGCCCAACCCCACTTGCCAACAGCTGCAACGAGCCCTGTGTCAGGCAGTGCCAGGACTCAACAGTCGTGATCCAGCCCTCTCCCGTGGTGGTGACCCTGCCCGGACCCATCCTCAGCTCCTTCCCTCAGAACACCGCTGTGGGATCCTCAGCATCTGCGGCTGTTGGGAGTGCACTCAGTGCTGGAGGGGTCCCCATCTCCTCTGGAAGCTCCTCGGGATTTGGGAGCTTTGGCTATTCAGGCCTGGGCAGTGGGTACAGACCGGCCCCCCGCCGCGACAACAACTACCCCTGCCGTCGCTACAACACCTACCGCAGTGGCTTCTATGGGCCGTGCTAAAGTGTGAGGAGCAAGCAGGAAGAAATGACCAGCAACACTGAAGCACGACCTGACGCAGGACCGAGCTCATGGCCATGGTTTTCAGATGCAATGTTAGATACCCACAACTCCACCTGAAGTTACTGGAGCTGTGGGAGCTTGGCATCTCCTAAAATCAGGCCTTTGCTTGTCTTACTTTTGTTATGCTTTATATTTCTGATCAAATGTCTTGTTCTCTTATGCTTTTTTGTATTTGAAAATGACTAGGTAAAATATGTAATTATTAGAAATTGTTCTGCATGACTGAATTAGTGCAGTCCACTTAAACAATGAAGAAGGAAGACCTCATTTTGCCGAATGTGTCATTGTGAGAGGGATGAGTGGGTACTGTCCTTAGTGGACCATGAAAATGTATTCCTTACACTTTACATTGCTTCCTTCCATTCCTCAGCCTCATTAAATTTGTGCTGCATCATACTCCAAGTCTGCCTGTACTTCTTTCTTCTCCCAGCCCCTTTTCTAGCTCACCTGTGGTGAAACAGGTCCCTTTACAAGTCATCAGTTCCAGAGAACACTGTGCAAATAACTCCAGGCCAATTGCCAAAGAAGAACAAGTCAGATTTCAGTTGTGGAAGAAGTTTTACATTTGTCTGTACATGGTAAATCGAACCCTAGACAATTTAGCAAAGGCTAGAAAGAAATGATATTCACCTGCAATGGGTGTGCCTCCTGTTGTTGCATAAGCAGGAAATCGTAAAGTAACGGAGCTGCTTCTGTTTACACTTTAAAGACCCTTTACCCACTGTACCATGAAGATGGAAAAAGGCCCTTTAACTGTTTCAATATTGCTCTTTTATCAGAAAATGTTTGTTTTGATATGGATGTCTTTGAAGAGGGATGAGAATGGGGCAATAAGCTGATGTGAGAAGGAGGATTAGCTCCCCTTTAATGAGAAGTGGAATAGCCTAATTTCAGGGAAAAGCTCACTGAGAGGAATACTCTTTATCCTTGTAGATGTAATAGACAAGAGTATCTATGTAGAAAAGAGGACAGAGAAATGCAGTGGGAAAATCTACAGGGGTAAGAGGAACACTAGAAATTATAGGGATAAACATTTTTCTGAAGTGCTACCTCCAGTCATCTGTTCTCAGCTTGCTGCACAAATAGGATATATGTGCTATTACCCAGGCAACCTGGAAGAAGATTGTGGAGTTTTTTACCCTACCTGTAGTACTTAGGAAGACCCCTTTAAAAGAAGGGAGAAATTATGCTTTTCCTGAGCACAGCTGAGCTTGCTCAGGGCAGCGGTGGTGGGAGAGAGGCAGCAAGCTGGTGCAATCCAGGGCTTTCTGATGGGTGCAGCACCTCTTAGCAGCTGAGATCAGGCCCTGGTAAGTCTTGGAGGGGAGGAAGAGAAGGGTTTGTGGTGGTTTTTTGAGGGAATTAGCCTTTAAAATTTGCTGGCCTGGGGAGCATGTCTGGGAGAAAGAGATTAAATGATTTTAAGTTCTAACCCTTTCTCAGTGTGTCTTTATAAGCTGTGTCCTACCTGTTGTGCCTAGTAGATGTGAATTTTATTGGGCATTGCTTTGTTCTAGCCTGATCATCTGTATTGTAATAAAGGTAGTGTTTAAAGACTGGCAGCTTTGGTCCTTGTGGTGGGTTGAGCTTGTCTGGATGCCAGGTGCCACCAAGCCATTCTATCACTCCCCTCCTCAGCAGGACAGGCAGGAAGAGAAAATGAGATGAAAAAAAAAGCCCCCTTGTGGGTCAAGATAAAGGCAGTTTAATAAAAGCAAAAGCCATGCGTGGAAGCAAAAGGCAAACAAAGACTTTATTCTCTACTTCCCATGAGCAGGCGATGGTCCAGCCACTTTCTGGAAAGCAGGGATTCAGTACGCATAGTGGTTGCTCCAGATGACAAACATCATAAATAATGAATGCCCCCCCTCCTCCTTTCCCTTAGCTTTTATTGCTAGGCAGATGTCATATGGTATGGAAAATCCCTTTGGTCAGTTTGGGTCAGCTGTCCTGGCTATGTGCCCTCCCAAGATCTTGCCCACCCCCAGCCTAATGGTGAGGTTGGGGAATGTTGGAGAGGCAGCCTTGATGCTCTGGGAGCACTGCTCAGCAGTAGGCAAAAGGCTGGGGTGTTATCAACACCTTTCCAGCTACCACTACAAAGCACAGCACTATGAGGGCTGCCATGGGGAAAATTAACTCCATCTCAGCCAGACCCAACACTTCCCCTAAAGGAAGAAGGTTTGTAAAGCTCTACCTGAAGGCTCTGGATGATTCAACATCCTCTTAGCCCATATGACTCACAGCCTGATATCTGTGAAATTTCTTGCTTGGAATCTTTGCCTGTGTCTGTACAGACTGATGTTGAACTGTAATTAAAGCCAGGGAAAGATGTTGACAAAGTTATAGTGACTACAGTCATCAGTGGAGCTAAATTAAAGGAGGTACATCAGTTCCATGAAAGAATTAATAATTTTAAGGAATAGGTTTTCTTAATAAACAACAGAAGAAAATGGAAAGTTAGCAGTTTGATGTTATAATGCAGCAGAAGGTTGGTCTGAATTAAAAGTGTAATATATTTTTTGTCATCTCAACTGAAGCTATTACTTGATCAAAGAAGATGAACTCCAAGGAAGTCATCATCCATTTGCAGTTGTTGCAAAATAGCTTTCTCTTATGCAGGTCAACCTGTGTGTCTAATACAGCAGAGAAGTTACAATTCCACAGTATCAATATGGCTGGAAAGAGTTATGGCTGAGGCACTACAGTGGTCTTTAACATATTCAGGTGAACAGATAATGACATTTCCCATGACAAAGTACATTTTCCTACTCTTGCAATCCGCTTCTGCAATTCTCTGTTAAGCTTTCTTCTAATCAACTGCACCAAACCTCTCTGCAGAGGTAACCCCTGTGCATGTACGCTCTTTCCAAAGTTGGGATCTTTCCTTCAAGCAATCAGAAAAAGCAAGCAGAAGGGTCTGGTATGCAGTTCACTTCTTCAAAACAAAAAGCAAAAACAATCCTCAAGCATCATTTCGCCCCTTCATTCCTGTCCCAAACTGCCGCCTTTGGGTTAAAACTTATCATAGCAGCAAGTATAGCACAGTCCCAAAATAAAAGGTTTCTCTGTTTGGTTTTGTAGTTAATTGGAAAGTGTTTTATTCACTGCTGTGAAATATGAGCTAGATTATCATGTTACAGAGGAAATTTTCTAGGCAAGACAAGCTCAGGAACTGCCTCTCAATTTGTTACTCTATTTGCTTTGGAAATGTCATACTGTATTAGACTGGGCTCTACACAATCAGGCAGCATGTGTGCAATAACACGTAGTACTAGACAATAAAACAGCAGCATAAAAAGCAGTGCATGGTAGAATACACATGCTCTGACCAAAAGAACTGTCTGTATCTTCTCTTCCTTGATTGATAAACTTGCACCTGTTAATATCTATCACTGAATAGCTGGAACAAGTTGGTCCCATAGAAAAAAGAATAATATGAGCTGGTTTTGCAGAACAGTTTTTGCAATATTTGCTACTGCTGTCAGTGAAAATGTATTTCAACACCAAATTTTGTAAAGCTGAAACCAGAACTGTAGTGTCTGCTGTGCATACAGGGATAAGGGAAGAGGCAGAAAGACTCTGAAGAGCAAGAGGGTTTATAGCTTTCTCAGGCTGCCTGGAGGATCTGAGACATTCTTACACATTACTAACTAGTTCCTGCATTAAACTTTTTTTTTTTTTTTTGCATATGGCTGGGTTCCCACTAGTCAAATTATTTTGTTTACTGTTTATGTTTATTGCCTGAGCTTATCCTGGCATTGGATGAAAACCATGATCCATGGTGTCTCTTTAATCTTTTTGGTTTGCATCCACTAAATACGCCTGGCTCCATTATACTGACTCCACCTTCCCAAAAAGTGGATGAGTCAAAATTCAATTTGGTTAGGAATTTTGTCTCCTCTTTAGCATTCTGGTCACACTGGCCCATGGGAGTACCACCTGCTGTCACAGCAAGAGCTTTTAATTGAAGTCCTGAATGTGCAATTTCATCCCTGATAAGTGACTGTGAGATTTAGGATCACTACTCTTTGTAATATTCCAATGAGCAATATCCCAAAGCTTTCAGCTCCTGGGATGAGGAGATTGAGCCAGCTTGGCTAACTTGACGTAAGATCGCCTTCAGGAGAGGACATGTGATTCTTTTTTTCATCGCTATGCCTTTTGATGAGTTTGTTTTCAAAACCACATGCTCCTCTTACGGTCAATAGATAGTTATTGCTATAAAGCAATGTGGTTTTTAACATTTTGATACTGCAGTAGTGTGTCTGCGTGTATGCATTGGTAAGAGCATTGGGGAAAGACTGGCAAACCTCAAGGGACAGGAGAGCTTCAGTCAGTAGTGCCGCTGATGGGCGTCATCACATACCTAAGGACATCCAATGACTGATGATTGAAATAGGATTTTTAACATGTGATTTTGTGCAAATACTTACTTATAGTTTAAGAAAAAAATGGAAGGACTCCAGTCTGTGACACCATATAATGTGAGGAAGTTTGTGAAATTCGTTAGCAATCCTGGTCACAAATTTTAAATGCTGATCATGTTCAAATAGTGTCACATACCTTCACATTTTCTGATAATGCGTTATTTGCATGTCTGAGCCATTGATGAAAATGTGTTGTGAACTTGGAAGGCTTTTCTTCTTCAAAAGTGTACAATCAGCATTTATTTCCCAGGAGATCTTAATGAAGATACTCACAGCTCAGAGATAATTTGCATGTCTCTAGCTAAGTGATTTAAACATTAGGAGAGGAGAGACAGGAATACTGGTCCCTGCCCTAAAGTCTGCTTATGCATTGTATGCAATTACTTTTTAATCTAGAAATTGTCTTTGAAAAAGAAATTGAATTGTTACACACTGCAATGTTCTTTAAGACCATGCAAAATGAAGGCAACATTATTTGCTTTCAAAAGAGGAAAAAAGAACAAGAATATT